ATCAATGGGTGCCATATATAGGTTGTCAAACGTTTTGACAAACCCTCTACGACAATCCCGGTACTCAACATTACATTTCAACAACAACTGTCCCTGACTCTTTGCCACCTTAACATTACTGTAATTAGCCAGAACCGATTTAAAGTTTTGCGTACAATTAGTGCCTACAGTCTCCCTCAACTGTAATTTTAAAATTTCAACAATTTAAAACAATCTTATCAAAAACAATGGACAAATGTGCTAGCTACAAACCTGGTCCCATTGAGTTCTCATAGTTTTCTCCCAATCCGTATCACATTTGACAAGTTTCTGCATTTTGTCGTCCGTTATAGCCGCCGGGTCACACATTTTAGTCTTAAGACCAGGGTCAATTCCCGCCATAAACTCCTGTAATGAGACGGTTATACATATTAGGAGACAGAAAAGGGTTACACAATATTTGAACATTTTAACCAATAGTTTAGAAATGTAGAAATTAATTATATATTTGGATAGTTTTACATTTTATATAAGTGTTAAAAAGTTTAAAAAAATTAAAGTTGTTTAAACACGGCTGCCCAATTTGAGCATTATGACTTTACAAATAGGTCTAAACCAATATTTAAACAAATATTTAAATATGAATAAACACGCAATTTTTTATGCAAGTGCAAACAAGACTTATATAAATTACATTTTTACAGAATACTTGTGTTTTTATAAATGATAATTTTATAAATCAACAATATTTAAGTATTTTTTAAACATTTAATTTTAATAAAAGTCTAATAAGTATAATTTAATATTTTTATACTAAATGATAAAAACTATTCGAAATATTAATATAAAAACAATCTTTTATTTGATTTTCATTCAAAAACTTTAAAATACAATTTCAGTAATGCAAAAGTAGATTGAATTATGCATAATTATTTATCCAAGGACAGTCTTGTAACAATCCTAGGTAAATGTAATAATTATTAAAAATAAATAAAATAAAATAAATATACAAAAATACACACATTTCTGGCTTTATCAATGGGTGCCATAAATAGTCCGTCAAACTCCTTATACTTTTTATGACGACAATCATTGTACTCAGAGTTACATCGAAATAATAAATTAGCTTGATCCTTGTCAACTTTAACATTGCTAAACTTATCCAAAACTAATCCAAAATTTTTGGTACACTTTATGTCCTCACTTTTTGACCACTATTAATATAATTAAAAAGTAAGCATGCTATCAATTTAACAAAACTAAAACTATAATTGATATAA